CCACCGCACCCGGTCTTTTTTTTTTTTTTTTTTTCCTAATTTTAGCATTTCCATTTGATTTTTTCTCATAGTTTATATTTTTTAGTTGAAATTCCTCATCTGTTCATGTACATTGTCAACTTTTCCACAAGCCTTTAATTAATCATAGTTATCTTAAATGTCCTGTCTGACAGTTCCAACATCCGGTCATACCTAAGTCTGGCTCTGCTGATTGCTCTGTTTCTTGACTGGGGATTGCTTTTTTTCTTTTTGCTTTCTTGTGTGTCTTGTAATTTTTAGTTGAAAGCCAAACATGGTGTGTTGCACAGTAAAGGCTAAAGGGAATGGTGTTTTGCATAGAGATGGTAACATATCCTCTTCTGTTGGGCTTTTAGTGTGGGGAGCTGAGTCAATATAAGCCATGCCTGAGTTGGACATGGGCTCTGTTGTTGCTATGGTTACTTTTGGTGAACCACAAGATTCAAAATTCTCTAGTTTTACCTTGTGCATAGATGAGGGTTGTGCTGCCAGAGGGTTTTCCCTGTTACACTCTCAGCTGTAGTCCTGTGGTCCTGTGTCTCAAAGAGAAAGGGCACATGGAAAAAGCCGAGGCTGCTGGAGGGATGAAGAACTGAGGCCATCATCACGCTCTACCAAAGGTGCTTTTTCAGTTGTGTTTTTTTCAGAGTCCCTTTAGAATCCTTTCGATTTAGGATCATTTGATGTTTGTTGAGATGGTGCAGCAGCATTTCAGAACCTGTTTACAAATCATTTGACAACAGCAATGATTAGAAACGGAGATAGAAACAACGTAACCAATGCAAAGTACCCCTCTTTTTGTCAAAACTCAAGGCATGAGACTAGGTTTCAGTGTATGCATTATCCCACTTTGGACAATGAGTTGGCTTGTCCTTGAATTTTACATAAGGAATTTTCATTGATCCAGCTGCAACGGCAGGTACTAGGACACAAATATCACCTTGCTCGGCTAGTGTATAATCAAAGGCAATTCTGTTGTCTAGTAACACTTCATCAAGAAAGTTCAGGCTCATTTTTTTAAGCCTATAGTGCAAATATAGTTTTATTTGAAATGATTACCATGGCAATAGAGATTTTGTATACTGCAAGATAAGGAAAGATACCTTACACAGAGATATAGATCTCACCATCTCTAATTCCTCCAAATAGATTTGCATTCCACTGAGAGCATCAGACGGGTGTAAAACATCCTTGATAGAAATGGGGAATTTAAAAATTCATGTAAGTTCTTATTAATGCAAGTCTTTCCACAAGTTAAAAACTGACCAGATTCAATGTAACTCTTATATGAAATCTTTCTGTCAAAGCGTATGTTCTTTCAGTATACAATGAATGTTAATTGTTCAATATATATGAATTCTGCAACTGCACAAATATGTTTGCCTTCGTCTATGTAGTATTGGCACAAAATTTGGTAATTGGTCCAACTTTTAGTTTTCAGTTTTGATTTGGGTCCGATGAGATTTTCCATGATATGAATGCTAAAATTTGAGAAATTTTACCATTAGTCACAGAATTTAGTGTACAATTACAAAAATTTAGGTGGAAACATAAAAAACAATTAGAGCAAACCTGATCAGTTTCTCAATTCAAACTTTGGAAAAGATTTTAGGCCTTGGATGGGTCTAATATTTAAGTTAAGTATAATTATAGCAATATTATAAATATTTAAGATAAGTGTAGTTATGCTGATGTGTATAAATGAAATATGTTCAATCCACATGGTTGAACAGGACAAGTTAGCATCATAAGCTTGGAAATCTTGAGCAGAAATGTGGAATGCTTGACAGTAATAAGGGATGCATTAGAGGTCAGAGATGCGTTTAAAAATCCAGACTCTTTCTAAAAATTTCCTGGAGCTTTACACTCTTAGATGGAAAATGCCCTGGTAAGCATAAGCTCTCCCTGGACCACGTGTATTAAGGACAAGAATAAAAAACATGTGTAAGGCCGGGCGCGGTGGCTCAAGCCTGTAATCCCAGCACTTTGGGAGGCCGAGATGGGCGGATCACAAGGTCAGGAGATCGAGACCATCCTGGCTAATACGGTGAAACCCCGTCTCTACTAAAAAAATACAAAAAACTAGCCAGGTGAGGTGACAGGCACCTGTAGTCCCAGCTACTCAGGAGGCTGAGGCAGGAGAATGGCGTAAACTGGGGAGGTGGAGCTTGTAGTGAGCTGGGATCGGGCCACTGCACTCCAGCCTGGGCGACAGAGCGAGACTACATCTCAAAAAAAAAAAAAAAAAAGAAAGAAAAAAAACAAAAAAAACATGAGTAAGTCATTGTTGGTATATGTATTAGTCCATTTTCACACTGCTATAAAGAACTGCCCGAGACTGGGTAACTTAGAAAGGAAAGAGGTTTACTTGACTCACAGTTCAGCATGGCTGTGGGGAGGTCTCAGGAAACTTACAGCCATGGTGGAAGGCAAAAGGGAAGCAAGGCACCTTCTTCACAAGGTGGCAGGAAGGAGAAGGAATGCAGGAGGAACTACCAAACACTTATCAAATCATCGGATCTTGTGACATCTCACTCACTATCATGAGAGCAGCATGGGGGAAACTGCCCCATGATTCAATTACCTCCACCTGGTCTCTTCCTTGATGTGTGGGGATTATGGGGATTACGACTCAAGATGAGATTTTGGGTGGGACACAGCCAAACTGTATCAGTGTACTATCAGCAGTTTAAATCAGCAAAAAGGAATCCAAGTCAATATAAGGATTAGAGACAGAAGCAAGAAACAAGAAGAAAAGAGAAAGAAAATAATATTTGTGGTTTTGGTCATTGGGTCTTATTCTGATGATCTTGAGTGGAAGCTACTTCAAGTACATCAATGTGGTGCAAAGTACTTGGATCCAAGGATACACACCTCACAGTTTTACTGTTATCTGTTATTAACAGCCTTTGTTATGGGATCTTTTGGGTGTCGTTTTTCTGGCCAGAAGCCTCTGTAGTTGGTGGTACCTTTGTCTGACTTTTGATCTGGTCAATTCAGCTTGTTCCTCCCACTCGGCCTGGCAGGCTGCACTTGGCTCATGCTACCAGCTTGGATCCACCCCTGCCAAGGGTGAGCCAGGTGTGGAGTCCAAGATGTGTGAGCAAGTGAGCATGGGGTCCGGCCACTGCACACAGTCAAGCAGGCCGGCTCCTGAAGTAGCAGGGGCAGTTTCCAGGTACCAGCACAGGCAGCAGCTCTCTGCAAGGCTGCAGCTGGACCAGGCACACTGCAAGTAGCTTTGGCTGGCACTGGGGGGAATGCAGTGACACCTGGAAGCTCAGAGACTCCAAGAACCGCAGGGCCTCAAAGAGGGAGTCACAACCCTGGCTTGGGGAGCTCCCAGGTCTGGGCTCCCCAGAGGGCCTCAACTCTTCTCTCTCACTCTTCACCTGCAATGTGGAGAGCAAGGGGCATGTTTCAGCCCTGTTTGTGTTACAGCACTTCTAGACTTGCCATTCAGCGCCCTGAGTTCTTGTCCTGCAACCAAGAAGAATGAAGCATGCAGACAAGTGGAGGGTGAACAAGATAGAGCTTTATTGAGCAGTAGAATAGCTCAGGGACCCACTGTGGGTAACGCCTTTCTGCAGCCAGGGTGTCCTGATGAGTGTTCAGCCCTCAGCAGAGAGGAGGAGGCCTTTGGATGGGTGGTCCCTCTCTGCTGGCAGGTTGTCCTGTCATCTCCACAACTCTTAGCAGAAAGGAGGCCCTGGAGTGTGTTGCTCGTCTCTGCAGCTAGTTCATTGCTGGAGTGGGAAGGCCCTCTCTGCGGCTGGTCATCCCATTGTCTCTCCTGCTCTGCCTGAGCCTGGGGCTTTTATGGGCCTCTGAGTGGGGAAGTGCATTCTGATTGTTCCATGGGCAGCCATGGGCGGGCCCAGGAAAAAGCACCATGAGCTTCCCCCTCCAGTCCACAGGACTGACAGCCTGGCTTCCAGGCTTTAGGCCTTCTCCAGCCTGAAGGCGGGGCTTCACTGGGGACCCACCCCCTTCCACCCAGGAACCTGTCTCCTGCTGCTGTCCATGGTGCCCAGGCTGCTTGAACTAAGGGGCACCTGCAGACCAGTACTAAACTGCCCTCAGTTCCTCCTTGGCTTCCCCTCCCATGCTCACAGGTGCCCAAAGCCTGTAGGGGGCTGAGGTGGTAGGGAGCTGGTGTGTTGGTGATGCCCTGAGTGTATATACACTCAGCTGGGCTGTGACAGTGCCCAGGCTTGGCCCCAACCATGCTCCAAGATCAGAGCGGGTGCTGAGCTGGGAGAGGCCAGGCATCAGAGCAGACACCCCTGAGCCTGTGGAGACAGGAGGCCTTCCCAGGCCCCCAAGGGTGCAGACTGCAGAGGCGCCCAGGTCTTGTGCCTGGGAGGGCAGCTGCAGAGGTACCCTGGGGAAAGCAGGGCTCTTGCCTGCTCCAGGAATGGGAGGCCCGGGCCTGCCTCTCTGTGGCGGCTGGCATCTTGGCAGCTGCCATCCTAGATGGGCTGCTTCTGCCATCACCTTCCCAGGATCCTTTCCAGAATGTCTCTAGAGAATATTTCCAGTTGGTGTCTTTTCCAGAGTACCTAATATCTAGGTTGAAGGAGTGTAGAGGTTCTGAAGGTGAAGTTTTTGAAAATCTAGTTTGCACTCATGGAAGATAAGAATGATTATTGAATTTCTCTTTAACAGTATTTATCTAGGTCTGCCTAAAGCAAGGTCCAATCAATTACGAGTGGTAAAACTTACAGGTGCATGGGTCTTCTAGTTGTTAATTCATAAGGTTACAGTCTATAAGTTCCAGAACAGGCTGACCTGATGGCCACTAGGGGTAAAATTCTCAGCCACGGATGTTTAAGAGCTGCGGATAACCAGTTTTATTATTTTTATTTTTTAGAGACAGAGGTCTCTATCTGTTGCCCAGGCTGGCATGCAGTAGTGCAATCATAGCTCACTACGGTCTCAAGCTCCTGGACTCAAGCAATCCTCCCACCTGAGCCTCCCAAGTAGTTCAGACTACAGGTGCATGACATCATCCCTGGCTAAGGTATTGTACTTTGTTTTATTTTTTTTGGCAACAGGGTCTTGCTGTGTTGCTCAGGCTGCTTTTGAACTCCTGGCTTCAAGCAATCCTCCTGCCTCAGAAGCAGGACAGAAAGCAAGAAGCAATAATAAAGAAAAATGAAAAACTCCCGAGTAGCTGGGATCATAGGCACACATCACCACCAATTTAAGTTGTGTACCTACATTTGTACCTGGAAACTGTAGAGAGTAAGGGTAACAAGACTTTTTCTGAGATGGAGTCTCACTCTGTTACGCAAGCTGGACTGCAATGGTGTGATCTTGGCTTACTGCAACCTCTGCCTCCCAGTGACTCTCCTGTCTCAGCCTCCCGAGTAGCTGGGACTATAGGTGTGTACCACCACACCTGGCTAATTTTTGTATTTTTAATAGAGATGGGGTTTCACCATGTTGTCCAGGCTGGTCTTGAACTCCTGATCTCGGCTCACTGCAACTTCCGCCTCCCAGGTTCAATCGATTCTCCTGCCTCAGCCTCCGAGTAGATGGGATTACAGGCACACATCACCACGCCTGTCTAGTTTTTGTATTTTTAGTAGAGACAGGGTTTCACCATGTTGGTCAGGCTGGTCTCGAACTCCTGACCTCAGGTGATCCACCCACCTCAGCCTCTCAAAGTGCTGAGATTATGGGAGTAAGCCATCGTGCCCGGCCCAGTGTTTCTGTTTCTTGAATCTAAGGCTACTCTCTCCGAAATAAATTGTATGTAAAAAATCTATTCATGTTTTTACATTTCCTTCATAATAAATAACTCCTAAGAACAAGGAGAAAAGTGCACTTCCTTTGTTTAATAGCTGCCAATGCACTCCCGTCGCCTTCTTTATTATCGCTTGTACTGTGTGCCTTCACTTTTAATTGTATGCCTCTTTTGGGAGCATCAATGCTTCTGACAAATCTATTTTTTTCTCCATTTTTTTAGGCCTCCCTGGTGAGGTCAGCTATTCCTTCAGTCTCATAGCATCACTAAATTACATACAACACCAAAGGCATAATAGCTCTGTGTGTATGTGTGTGTGTTTGTGTGTGTATATGTGTCCCTTTTGACAGCAGCTCTGGTAAGGGCTACTAGTTTTACTGTTTGAGCTGGCTCAACTTTGGGTGAAAGGTTATCATCTAGTACAGTTTTTTTGTTTTTTTGTTTGTTTTTGTTTGTTTGTTTGCTTTCGCTCTTGTTGCCCAGGCTGGAGTGCAATGGCGCGGTCTCGGCTCACTGCAACCTCCACCTCCCTAGTTCAAGCAATTTTCCTGCCTCAGCCTCCCAAGTAGCTGGGACTACAGGTACATGCCACCATGCCCAGCTAATTTTTTGTATTTTTAGTAGAAATCGGGTTTCACCATGTTGGCCAGGCTGGTCTTGAACACCTGACCTCAGGTGATCCGCCCACCTCAGCCTCCCAAAGTGCTTGGATGACAGGCATGAGCCATCGTGCTTGGCCCTAATACAGTTTTATGTAGTTACTGCATAACTTCAATGGTATTGACCTTGATCATTTAAAAAGAACACTGGCTCAAGATTCTCTAGGAGAACATCAACTAGATCTTTCTTGAAGATACTCGACTTCATGTTTGCTGTACTATAGTCCTGGGGCTCTTCCTCAGGTGGTGGAAGCAATACTGCAAGACAGATGCTAACACTGACACATGGTAGGTAACATGAGAGACCAACAACAGCAGCCAGCCTGAGCTAATGGGCTTGCAGAGCAGTGCTGGCTGTTGCTTGTCAGTAGTAAGGACTGAACAGCCTGTGCAACCCATGGAGTTAATGGTGCGACAAGGATAATATTCACAGAAGCACTGACTGTTTTGCAACCACTATTATGGCACATAACACGGAAGAAAACCCTAGTCACTGAGTCTAGACAAGTGCCTAAATCAGGAGTGGTTTCTGGTACTTCCCATGTTGTTGAGCTAAAGCCTCTTTTTGGTACCCCGTGGCACCTCATTTTTGTTTCAGCTCAAGGAAATGTGCCAAGCGGGCGTAAGGTAAATGATGATGTTGTTATTCAGGTAGAGCTGGTTTTGGGGTCTGCTGTGATTTAGATTTCAAAGTGACAAGGTCAGTTTCATCAAGGAAGTTTTCTGGTTGCGTGTTTTTGGTAAGTTCATGGAGGAGTCAAGTTGTATTGGAAAAATTGAGAATCCATTGCTTTTCATACCTCTCAAGTTTCCCAAATCCTATGAGTGTCTTATTTTTGGGTAGAGTGTGCCTGTTGGTGGAGAGGTCACCTCCTGAATCATGTCCCACCTCTTGGAAAAATGGTCATTTTTAGCCACTTGCTCCTTTAAAAGTGGATTGAGTCCTCTTGAGGGTTTTCCAGGAGAGGTATATATGAGGCAAAGTCTTCTTGAAGGGGTGGCATGGCCATAGACGTACTCAGGAATCTCTCATCGACTTGTCCTCAATGACCACACTTGAGCATACCTTCACCCTAGAGAAAAGCACCCACGTTGGGCACCAGATGAAGGGGTGGCCTGCCCCTCCACACCTGTGGGTGTTCCTTATCAGGTGGGATGAGAGACTGAGAAAAGAAAAAGACACAGAGACAAAGTATAGAGAAAGAAAAGTGGGCCCGGGGGACCAGTGCTCAGCATAGGGAGGACCCACGCTGGCACTGGTCTCTGAGTTCCCTCAGTATTTATTGATCATTATCTCTCCCATCTCAGAGAGGGGGAGGTGGCAGGACAATAGGGTAATCGTGGGGAGAGGGTCAGCAGGAAAACATGTAAACAAAGGTCTCTGTGTCATAAACAAGGTTAAGAAAAGGTGCTGTGCTTTGTTGTGCACGTACACAAACATCTTAGTGCATTAAAGAGCAGTGTTGCTGCTAGCATCCAGCCTTAAGGTGGTTTTCTCCTATCTCAGTAAATAGAACATACAATCAGGATTTACACCAAGACATTCCATTGCCCAGGGATGAGCAGGAGACAGATGCCTTTCTCTTATCACAACTGGAAAGAGGACTTCCTCTTTTACTAATCCTCCTCAGCACAGACCCTTTACGGGTGTTGGGCTGGGGGCGGTCAGGTCTTTCCCTTCCCACAAGGCCATATCTCAGGCTATCACATGGGGAGAAACCTTGGACAATACCTGGCTTTCCTAGGCAGAGGTCCCTGTTGCCTTCCGCAGTGTATTGTGTCCCTGTGTACTTGATATTAGAGAATGGTGATGACTTTTAACAAGCATACTGCCTTCAAGCACTTTTTTAACAAAGCACATTCTGCATAACCCTCAATCCATTAAACCTTGAGTCAACACAGCACGTGTTTCTGCGAGCACAGGGTTAGGGCTGGGGTTACAGATTAATAGCATCTCAAGGCAGAAGAGTTTTTCTTAGTACAGAACAAAATGGAGTCTCTTATGTCTACTTCTTCTACATAGACACAGTAACAGTCTGATCTTTCTTTTCCCCACATCTTCTATATTGAATGAAATTGTAACCTTTCAGGAGTATGTCCTTTAAATCATGATTTAAAGACTGGAAGGAATCTAAGGTATTTCTGAGGTGTTATTGCCCAAATATCTGTATACTGTTAGTCATTCCAAATAAAGAAAATACCTATCGATTATCTTTATTTACAGAGATGCCAAAGAAGGCTGAGAAAGGTCTTCCGCAGTGAACTATTTGCCTGTAAGTGAAACTAGAGATAGAATAGCATTAGAATGGGGCACTGTGGGAAACCTAGAAATAACTTTAGGGATGTTTCTTAAGTCTTGAACAAATGAACATCCCATCCTTTTCCATTAGGTTTGTAAAAAGGCAATACATAGACTTTTGTGAGACACTTTTGATTTAAGAATGTATAATTGGTTTTATTCCTTGAATAACTTCTGCTTTCAGCGGACATTAGAGTAGCTCAGGCAAGGACTTAAGAGGATCTACCTGTGTGTTTTTAGGCTCCATTCCTATTGTATGTCCTCCATTAACAGAGCTTTTGCTCATAAATTGCAATGTACCAGCCGGAGTGAGTTATCTACAGTTTCAAGAGTCATGGTCTAGGCAAGTTTAGGAAAGTCAAGTGTAGAAATAGCATGCCATGAAATTGGGTTTCTAGTAGTTCTTTACTTTCCAAGAATGATCTTTCAGGTGGGCACTTAATCCTGTAGCTGCATTTATATAAAGGGCCTCTGCCAGGTGGGTGGAGAGGCATGAAACCACGGAGGAGAAAACAGCGTTTTCTTCTGTTGGTCCTTATATGGTGGTCAAGGCTATGGATAGAAAAGTGGGTTTGAAATACCCACTGTAGTAACCCATTGATTTCTCTGAGTGACTGTTTTATTGCAGTAGGGTTCAGGATAGACAGAGTGGCCCTTGTGTCAACTAGAAGTAGGCCTTTGTGTCTCTTTATGTCTATAGATATGGTAGGCCATGTCCTAAAAGTGCCTCCATGCCCCAAGATTTCCGCCCCTGGTTATTCCATCAAATGTTCATCTAGGTACTGCTGACAAGGGATTTTGCAGTTATAATTAAGGTCCCAAATCAGCTGAACTTAAGATTCACAGATTAACCTGTGAGATTATCCATGTGAGCCTAATCTAATTACACAAGTCCTTAAATGTAGAGGACTTTCCCTAGCTGATGGGAGTAGAGGCAGGTAGAAGAGAAGGCAGAAGGGGAAAAAGCCCAAGCACAAGAAGGAAGTGAAGTGCCATCACTGGTTTGAAGACACAGACGGCCCCATGTACAGGAGGACAGTGGCTTTTCACCCCTAGCTGACAACCAGAAAGGAAACAAGTTCCCCAGTCCTACAACTGCATAGAATGGAACTCTGCCAGCATCCCGAGTCAGCACGAAATGGGTTATTTCTTGAGCCTTCTGATTAAAAACCCAGCCTGGCCAGCACCTCAATGTCAGCCTCGTGAGACCTTGAGCAGAGAAGCCAGTCAAACCACCTGGACTTCTGACCTCCAGAATGCTGAGGTGATCAATGGGTGCTGTTTGAAGCTGCTAATTTTGAGGTAATTTGTTA